CCAGATGGTCTCCTTCACCCCCCCACCTCGGCCGCTGCCCCTGTCACCCCCCTACGGCCCCCCGGCCTGGGCTCTGCCTCCCTGCACAGCGGGGGCCCTGCCCGACGGAGAAGCAGTGACAAGTTCTGCTCCCCCATCTCCTCAGGTGAGGGCAGGCTGGGGCTACTGGGTGGCCGTGGGAAGGGGCTTTTTCCCTAGGCAGGGCCTCCCCATTCATCTACTTCATGCCCTGCCTGTCTCCCTCAGAGCTGGCCCAGAATCATGAGTTCTACAAGAACGCCGACGTCAGGCCCCCCTTCACCTACGCCTCCCTCATCCGCCAGGTGAGCACGGAACAGAGGAGCGTGGCCAGCACCCAGCCTGCACCCAGCTCCAGGTCCGGCCCCAGCAGGGCCCTGGGGCAGGATAGAGCCTCCCCCCACGCCGTCCCCGCCCTCTTGCACCCGCGTCTCCCTTTTCAGCTGTCCGGGTCTCCTGCAGACCCAGCTCAGTGGGCCCCTGCTCACAGGGCTGTGTCTGGGGACAGTACTCGGAGTCCTCTACTCACACCCACCTGCTCCCGCACTCGTAGCCTGCTCTTTCCTCTCACTCGGTCACTCGTACACACAGCTCTGCTCCCTCCAGTCTAACCCTCCTTAACTCACGTAGTATTCACAGTCACGTGTGAGCATGTATTTACAGACACATCCGATCTCTGCTGCGCCCCCACCGGGCATGCACACACATCCCACGCTGAGGGTGCCCTTTGCCAAAATCAGGATAAATTCCAAGCGGTCCCAGCCCATGGACGTCTCAAGAGCACTGCGCTATCCAGGGCGGAGCACTTGAAGCCGCTGCCCCTCCAGAAGCAGCTCACGTGCTTGCCTGAGGCACAGCCCACGGAGGCTCCCTCTAGCTGGGCTGGGCTCTGGCCTCTCAGGGCACCCACAGCACCCCTTCTCTTGCCCACACATTTCTGCAGTGGGTCCCTCTGCTTTTAGGGTGCGTTAGGGGCCAGGCACAGGGAGCAGCCTGGGGGAGAGGACACAGGGCTGTGACTGAGGCGTAGAGCGAGGTCCCTTCAGTCCTTCCTTGCCTACAGGCCATCCTGGAAACCCCCGACAGGCAGCTGACCCTGAATGAGATCTACAACTGGTTCACCAGGATGTTCGCCTATTTCCGCAGAAACACTGCCACCTGGAAGGTGAGCAATGGCCCTCCCCCTGCTTCTGGGCCCCAGTCACCAGGGACATCCCCACATCCCGTGGACACCAAGCCTGCCTACAATCAGTCCCCTGCACGAACCTACATGGTTCGTTCTACACACATGACCCTCCAGGGCCCAGGCGAGGCATGTGCCCCCTGCTCCCACCATAGCAGGTGCCGTGCACTGTTCTGTGACTGCCTGTCTTGTCTTTATTTTTAAAGAATTATTTAACTCCATTTGTTATTAATTATTTTTTATTTGACCAGAGAGAGAGAGAAAGGGAAAGTGAGAAAGCAAGCCACCAGGTTTGGGACTCGAACTGCAATCAGCCATGTGGAAATCCAGCCCCTTTAACCACCACACCACCTGCCAGCCCCTCTGTGACTGCCTTTTAATGGCCTCTTCCTTCTAGCCTCTTGCCCCCCTTTTTCTGAGAAGAAATCCTCTTCTCTGGACTGTTTCCCCATGTGCCCCAAAGACTCCAGCCACATGAAGTAGGGCCTTCAGGAATCAGTCATGCCCGAGCTTGGTAAGGCCTCGGCAGAATTTACAGAGACCCTGAGGGTCTGGACACCTTTGCTGAAGGCACATACTGTGACCCCCAGGGTGCTGGGGGCCTGCAGGCGGGACGGACCCAGAGCCGTGGACCTTCCATTGGGCCACAAACACAGGCCCTCACATCCTCTCCTCAAGCTCTGCCGTTAGTGGCAGGAAGATAATTGTCTCCATCCAATTAGTCATTTCAGTACCCTCAGCCATTGAGTTTTCCTGAGAGACCAGAGGCAGGCAAGAGGGGGACCCTAGAAAAATGGGGCACGAGACGTGGACTGGAGCCCTAAGCCATTTATCTTTCTGTAGCTGAGGTGCGTGTATGCACACACACATGTGTATTTGTGTGCCACACAGCAGGATGGGCAGGCGATATCTAAATTGGGTGAGGGGTGGGAGGAAGGGGGAAGGAGCCATGGCCCCTGGGGAGAGTTTAGGCCTCTAGCTCGGTCCTTAATCAGATCCCTGGCTCTTGAGTCCCTCTGCTGGCCATTGCAGGAACTGCAGTTAAAAAGGCTTCCACCTACCGCGCACCAAGTTCAACAAGTGTTTCCCAGCTGCTCCTGAGCACCCAGAGCAGAGTGGGATCCTGCAGGGCCCAGCCTTCTCTGTCCTGGAGCTGTGCCAAGTGCTAGAGGAGGAACTGCTGCTATGACTCCCTGTATCCCCAGGCCCAAAGCTTGGGGAAGGGCTGTCAGGCTAGGACAGCTGTTCTGATTGGCTGTGAATGATGTCATTTCCTGCCAACCACAGTCCTGCCCTCTTCCTGAGCCAGCAGGGCCTGCTTAGGGCCACCTGGTCCAGTCTCCAACCCCCAGGCCAGTTCCGATGCCAGGTCTGATAAATGATAGCATCCTATACAGTCGTAAGGCCTCGTGACGATGGTCAGCTTGCGTTGAGCACTGCATGCATCCTTTGCCTGTAGGGGAGGCTGTGCAGAGCCTGTTTCCCCAAGACTGCCTCCTCCTTGGGAGCCCAGGGCTGCGCGCCCACTTCCCGTCCTCCCCTCTCCTCTCCAATCCGCCCTGCCCCTCTGCAGTCTCCTACTCCTCCCTGAAGGCCAGGGCCAGCTGGTTTTGGTGACTTTGTTAAGCCACTCAGTGTCCCCCACCTCCACCCCATCCCAACCCTGCCACCTGTGACCGTTTGTGCAGCCTCGGTCATGTCTGTGGCACGGCTCCCCTCCCGATCGTCGCCGTCATCTTCCTCTGCCAGTGTGGGTGACAGTTAGACTCCCTGGGCTGGGAAGGGCACAGCGGTGGTCTCCTGCTGCCGCCGCCTCCTGGGGGCACGGCCTGTGCCCTTCTGAGGGCATGGTGTCCATCTCAGCTTGGGGTCCGCTTTGACCTTCAGATTTTTTTCTCAGCCAAGCTTCATTCACGTCACTTGGGAGGTCTGCCCTGTGGACACCCAACTCTGTTTCCTTTCCATCTCGACTTTCCCCCCATTTGTCTGCCTCCTGAGGTCCCTTCTCTCTCTCCTAAACTATTTTGGTTTCTTCTTGCTGTCGTCTTTTGCTTTCTGGCTACCTCCACGAGATCCTGTCCATCTCAGACCAGGACACAGGGGTTGGGGACGGGTGAGGGCCAGGCCAGCTGCCGTTCATCCGGGGACAGAGTGCCATCTGCCACGCCGATGGTCCTCGCCGGCCCTCCCCTGTGTCCACCCCTCCCAGGGCCCGTGTTGTGGGCCGGTCCTTTTGTTTACGCAGCCCCCGACAGACCCCTTAAATTGCCGTTAATGTTTCAGCGTAACGAATTAGTCTCTCATCACGAATCAGGCTTCGAAATGAGGGAAAAAAGCCCCGGTGAGGCCATCCTCGGAAATTGGGGTCATTCTCATTTGCAAAGCGGAGGATCGGAGCCCCGTAATGCGGGCAAATTTATTCCGAGGCAGGAGCCCCGGCGTGATTAGGCCCTTTGTAATTATCGCTCCAAGAGATCCCACTCCAGCCGCCCGCCTCCCTCGTGGATTAGCAAGCGAGTCGGAAAAATACACAGGATTTAATTAGAGGCAAATTAAAATTGGTAATGAAATCGGGCCAGTTGCAAGTGGCAAGAGTTGGAAGGGAGAGAGGGAGAGAGGATCTCCAGGGGCATGGGCTGCCCGCCCTGCCCGCCTCCTTCCCCATTTAGAAATGTAAAGAGGAGACAAGGGTGGGGACGTGGCGGGGGAGGCTGAGGGAGGACAGGTAACGGGGACAGGGATGGCGCTGGCTGGGGCTCAGGGTGGGGAGGACGGAGGGACCTGGGGGAGGGGTGGCACGTGGCTCAGGGCCCTAGCCCAGGCTCCCCGGGGAGGAATGGGGCCACACGCCCCTCCCTCACCCTAGTGTCCTACAAACCAGATGACCTCAATTCCTGAAGCCATCCTGCCAGGAGGAGGTGGGAGCGGCAAAGTGACCTCGCCACTCGATCCTCTTCCGCCACACTCTCCTTTGTCCCGGCTACTTCTGTCACAAGTCTGTCCGGCCCCTACCCCTACGTGTGCTCTCGGTCCGTGAGCTGTCTGCCATGTCTCCCAGACCCCTCCGGCTGCTGAGGCACAGTGAACTTCTAAAAGCTTCCAGGAAATTCTGTGTGTGCCTGAGATAAGGTGTCCAGGCTCACGGAGCTGCCAGGGCCCAAATACCTCGTGCCGGTCAGAAGCCCTAGTAGCGGCTCTGTGTGTCTTTGGTTAATGGTGATGAGAAAGCAAAGTTATTAGCTTGGTAGCATCTAGGCGGAGAGACTTTCCCAAAGTGCAGCAGGAAAAGGGAAGCAGATTTTACAAACTGGGCTGTGGGGAGTGAGGGAGCGGGGAGCCCCTGGCCCCAAGGGCAGGACAGGGGCTGCCTTCCTGCACTGGGTCCCTGCAGCCCAGCACCCGGCTCCTGCTGGGCTGGGGAAGGGGGGTGTTGCCCTGTGTGCTTACCTGTCCCGTGGGAGGAGGCCCAGGGGCCGCCTCTGAGCATCTGCCCCCCCGCGCCCCCCAGAACGCCGTCCGCCACAACCTCAGCTTGCACAAGTGCTTCGTGCGCGTGGAGAACGTCAAGGGCGCCGTGTGGACCGTGGACGAGCGGGAGTATCAGAAGCGGAGACCGCCAAAGATGACCGGGTATGCAGGCCCAGACCGAGCCAGGCGGCCGGGGAGCCCTGGTGCACTCCATCCTCCCCAGGGCGAGGAGCCCAGTGCGGGGACCAGAGGCCCAAGTCCAGTCCAATGCATACGTCTTGTTCTGCCTTTACTTGGGACTGGGGGTAGGAGACAAGGGGTACCTGGCACCAGGGGGGACAGGCCTGCAGCAGCCCTGGCCAGAGCTGGGAGCCGGCAGGGCAGCCTGTGAGCCACGGGCCACAGCACCCACCGGCCAGCCTCTGGCTTACAAGGAGGCTCAGAGGGCCAGGGGTTGGTGGGAAGCCACCTGCCAGTATGGCAGGGCCAAGTGAGGGCCAGATCTCGGACCCGCTCATCTCTGCCCACTCTACCACACGGCTTTTTAGACAAAACTTTTTAGACTGGGCTTCCTCCCTGCCCCAGCCACCCTCTTGCCTGGACTCTGAGTCAGAGGCCCATGGGCTGAAAGAGAGGTCTGATGCCAGTTAGATGGCTCTCTGCAGGGTGCCCGTCCCTGTCCAAGAGGCCTCCGGTCCTGAGCAGCCCTAAGGCCAGTTTCCACCCTCGCTGTTCTCACGTCTCGTTACCAGCGTGGACTCAGCCTGGGTTCTGGTTGCACCCCGCTGCTCCTCAGCCGTGTGACTCTGGGCCGTGTCCCCAAGCTCTCAGAGGCTGTGTACATGAGGTCATTATGGAGGGCACTGCCTCGAGCCAGGGCTTTGCCGGTCCACCTCCCCCACACTTCCCAGGGCAGAAGGGCCTGCTGCAGAGGACGGCCACCGGCCGAGCACCTGGCTCACCACGTGTCCGTGTCCGATTTCAGGGCAGCCGGGAGGTGAGGAGGTGCAGGCACGGTGTTACTGGGTGTTACTGAGGCCGTGGCTCGGGCCTTGCCGAGCAGCAGAACGGGCTGGGGCGTGATGAGAAGGCAGGCGTTGGGAGGGAGCTGGCTCCCACGCACCAGGGCTCAGCCCTCGGCCAGGGCCAGGCGACGTGACTGGGAGAGGGCTGAGCCCCAGGCCCCTCTGTCCTGCAGGAGCCCCACCCTGGTGAAGAACATGATCTCCGGCCTCAGCTATGGAGCACTTAATGCCAGCTACCAGGTGACTGGGCCCCAGAGCCCCCACGCCTCACCCCTTGCTCCCCTGCCCTGCAGAGGCCCCTTGGATGCAGGGGGGGGTGGGAGGAGAGTGAAGACCACTCTGGGTGTCTGAAATCCCAACCTTCTTCCCCACCTCAGCGCCCCCCAATGCTTGGTTTGGATGGGGTGGGGCGGGCAGAGGGGTTGGCATAACCACCCAGTCCCTCACCCTAGCCCAGGAGAGGGGAGGGGCGGGGCCCAAGTTCCCAGGAAAGCTGAGCTTAGGAGAGGGTCAGAGTTCTGGCTAGGGAGGGGGGCTGTGTCCCCAAGGCTACATTGGGGCCTGAGGGAGGCCAAGGCCAGCACACAGGCATGGGAGGCTCTCCAGGGACACGTGACCAGAGCCCCCTGACCGGGCGCAACCTCCCCGCCCCCCAGGCTGCCCTGGCCGAGAGCAGCTTCCCCCTCCTCAACAGCCCTGGCATGCTGAACCCTGGCTCCGCCAGCAGCCTCCTGCCCCTCAGCCATGACGACGTGGGTGCCCCCGTGGAGCCACTGCCCAGCAACGGCAGCAGCAGCCCCCCTCGTCTCTCCCCGCCCCAGTACAGGTGAGCACCCCACTGGGCCGCCCTGGGCCTCCTCTCCCCCTCCCCCCATCACAGCCCCATCTCTTCCTGCCACCCTCTCTTTCTCCCCATTCCTTTCATTTCCCTTCTCAGCTCTTTTCCCTCCCTCCCTCCCCAGCTCTGTCCTTGCTGCTCTCCACCCCCAGAGTGTCTGTCCCAAGCCCTCTATTTAAAGAGAGCCCTGGGAGAGCGGAGCTCAGGGATGGTGGGATCTGAGCAAGGGGCCTGACCCTTTGCTGAGTTTTAGATGAGATCTAGGGGACAGAGGGAATGAGGCTGGACATCGCTCTTGCCTTCCGGAGGAGTTCTGGGGTTCAGAGGGCATTGGGGGATGCCCTGGGTGCCCATCTTTGCCTTCTGGAGGAGGTCTGGGGGCAGAGGGGATGGAGGGACGCCCGGGTGCCCACCGTTGCCCTCTGTCCCAGCCACCAGGTGCAGGTGAAAGAGGAGCCGGCAGAGGCAGAGGAAGACAGGCAGCCCGGGCCCCTTGGGGTCCCCAACCCCAGCACCATGGGGCCTCCGGAAGACAGGGACCTGGAGGAAGAGCTGCCAGGAGAGGAGCTGTCCTAAGGGCTTCTGGGGACAGGCAGGGCAGGGGTGAGCCCCCCCCCTACCAGGCCCCAGGCCCCACCCACCCCTGCTCCACAGCCCCCCCAAGACCTCAAGGCACTTCCTGGACTCAGCTGGGGGAGGCCTGGGCCAGCCTCCCAGTGTGACCTGACTGACAAACACGGGGGCAGGGCGGTCTCGCCCCTAAGGGACACAGGACCCCTGGTCTGGGACAGGTGAGGACACAGAGGGCCCAGACCCCTCCTCAGACCCTCCCCCACATCTGAATATGCCTCCCCAACCACCAGCAGCAGCAGGGCCCTCCCCCCCACCAGCTCCCTCGGCCCCTCATCGCCATGGAGACCCGCAGGCGGGGCCCAGTCACCCTCAAGCGCCCAGGCTCTGGCATGTTCCTGGCCAGAGGCTCCCACCCCGCCCCCGTGTGCTCCCTTCCACCTTCTTTTCCGTACTGTGAAGAAATAACTCTGCACCCCAACTACCCCGGCCCAGCCTTGGGTGGGGAGCGAAGTTTCAGACCATCCCAGAGGAAACCAGCCCCCTGGCTGTCAGGGCCAGTCCAGTGTGCTCTGTGGGGGTCCCTGTGAGCAGGACCGGGCTGAACTGGGCCTCCTTGCTCTCATCTGCTGGGTGCTCCTCCAGCCGCCCCCAAGAGAGGGGGGGGTGCCAGTGGTGGCCGCACCCACACAGCCCCGTACCAGGCAGACTCTCGCAGTGAGGCCCAGCCAGGTCCAGAGGCAGTGCCTGGACTGCCAGGAAGCGTCCAGGGCACAGGGGGCAGGGGAGGCTGGAACCCGGCTTCCAGGCACCCCCAGCCTGCAGGTTCCCCTGCGATCCTCTCCCTGTCCCGCAGCACCCCTTCCCTGTCCCCCAGTTACACGGATGACCAAAGACCTTTCTTATGCCGGAAGCAAAAACCAAAACTTTTTGTTGGCTTCTTCCTTTGTCGCCTCCTGAACCCCCAGCTCTGCCAGCCCCCTATCTTGGCCCCAGGCTGGAAGCCCTCCCTCCACTTAAGTTATTGTTTTAAACCAAAGTTTACAGTGTCTGTTGGTGGCCAAGACCCTGCCCTCCACCCTGCTCCACTGCACTCCACCCCACTCGGAGGACCCTGGGACTCAGTGGAGGCTGGGGGCTCTGCTCACCTCTCCTCTGCTCCCCCAGCCTGGGGAGAGGCGAGAGGGCGGGGTGGGGAGGCTCTCGTCCCCTTGGGCAGTAGGCACCCTTGTCCCAACCCTGGGCTGCTGCCCCCCTCTAGGACCAAGTCCCCCATCGAGCTGGGAGTGTGGGTTCCAGCAGAACGGCTGGAAAAACCGAGACTCCACAGACCCCCTATGGGGGACCCTGACTTAAGGCCAAGGACCGGGTGTGCTGGATGCTCCTAACACCCCTGGCCTGCCCCTTTGCTGAGAAGACTCCTTGGATATCTCCCAAGAGACCCCTGCACCTTCACAAGCCACCCTTCCTGAGAGGCAGGGGGCCCTCGGCCCCTCCCCATGTCCTCCCCACCTGTGTTCCGTTCGACCAGCACAGAAATATTAAACGTCCTCTATTCACAGGGCCATGCGTGTGTCGCCAAGGCGCGGGAGGGCGGGGGCGCCTGCCGGCCAGTGGGTCCCAGCGGGCTGGTTTCTGCCAGGGCCTGTCCTTCAGCCTATGGGCAGGGCCTTTCTGCGGCTCCTCTGCACCTCGCCCGCCCCCTCCTCCTCTGGAACCCCTTCCCTCCATCATTCCGTCTCTCCAGAGTCCCGGCCCCTTGCTCTGGTTCTCGCAGTGCCAAGGCCAAGTTCCTGTGGGTGTCCCCAGCGAGGGGTCAGGCGGAGCTCTCCTGCAGGGCTCCTGCACCTCGTCCCCAGCCTTGGTGACAGCCCTGGTCAGGTGCTCCTGGGGCGGCCGGCCTGGTCCTCGTGGGGGTACCTGGACAGGCGTGTGTGTGTGTACTTGTGCACATGTGTGGCGTGGCATCCTGACGCTTGTGGTAGGCTGTTAGCGCGTGACATCCGTGTGGCAAGCGTGTGGGCTGTGACCGTGTTACTGATGGTCGGGTTGGAAAGGGATTATTCAAACCTAGCAAATGGGACCTGGGACAGTGGGCAGGAAAGAGAGGAGGAGGCCCTCCAGTGCTTACGAAGATGGGTCCTGACACCCCTCAGCCCGACAGGCACCCGCCTGCCTCAGCCAGGGCAAGTCCTGGGTCTGGAACGCTGCCCCTCCTGCCTCCTCAGCCCCGCTCCACCCCCAGGCCTCACTGCTGCTTCCAGCACCAAGGCCACCTTCTAGACACTGCAGGGACAGGGGCTCCCAGGAGTGTGTTCTGGGGGAGAAAGGGTGTCAGGAAAGCAGAACTGGAACGGGTCACCCCTGCACGTCACCAAACTGTTGGAACCTTCCAAAAGGTTCCAATCTGAGGGGAAGATGGGACAGGAAAGAGGGTATTAGATTCTGTCTCTGCTGACTTCTGTCTACGCTGAGGCCTGCTTTTTGTCTTACTCTGCCATCTGCTTCTTTCACTCACTCTCCCTCCTTTCTCACCTCACCCACACTGCCTCCCGCCTCCAGTCTCCTGGGCACTGCACAGAGCCTGGGTGAGTCCCTTGCCCTCCCTCAGTCTCAGGAGGAGCCAGAGGAGCTCAGTGTGGGGGCTGGGGGCTCCAGGGCTCCCCCGCCAGACACTGCGGGGCGTGTAACCTGCCTGCCAGCCCTCCGTGGAGCGGCCGCGGGCCTGTACAGTGGACTCCGCTGCATGTAATCTGTGTGCTCCATGGCGTTCTCTACGATGCAATAAAGCGATTACCCGTGATCTGCTGCGGCGCTTCCCCTTCCCCTTCTTCCCCTTCCTATACCCCCACCCCCAGAAAGCCCCAGAGGATCCAGAGGTGTCCACTGCCATGGCCCCAGGTCCCTTACTCCACGGTCTGTTGTGTAGACTGGCCCCAAGAGCATCCTACACTGTCAAGGGGCGAGAATAAAGCGATTACCCGTGATCTGCTGCGGCGCTTCCCCTTCCCCTTCTTCCCCTTCCTATACCCCCACCCCCAGAAAGCCCCAGAGGATCCAGAGGTGTCCACTGCCATGGCCCCAGGTCCCTTACTCCACGGTCTGTTGTGTAGACTGGCCCCAAGAGCATCCTACACTGTCAAGGGGCGGGGGTGCCCCCGCCTCACCCCTTCCAGCAGTGCCACTCAGTCTCCGGCTCCAACCTGAGTCCTTTTGCTGCTCCCATGGGGCATGGCAAGTGCCCGCCAGTGCATCTGCAGGTGGGGCGAAGGTCCACCTCAGGCACTGGCAGAGAGGGTTTTGCAGTCAGAACGAGGCTGTGCAGCACCCCTTCTGGTGCCTAGGGCTGATGGACTCACTGAGTCGAGGCCCCACATGGTGCAGTGCCCCCCACCCCATTACTACCTCCTAAGAAACCACCAGCCCTGGGCTCCCAGTCCCGCCTTGCTCAGGCGCGTCCTGCACGGCCGAGCTTTCCTCCCTCTTGCTGTTTCTCACACCGTCGGGGCGGGCGGCCTACTGTGGCAGCTTGCCCCGTCTTAGCATTTCTGCCCCATGGGAACCTGCTCTCAGGCTGGCCATTTGGAGAGCAGGGTAAGCCGCACTTGGGCTCTGCGCAGGGAAGAAGTCTCCCTTCCCCACGTGGCTTCCTAGTTACAGTGGCTGCGTCCCTCGTGGCCAACTGCGTGGTTCAAGTCCCAGACCCGATGACGTGAAAACCACACTGGGGCACGTGTGCGGGCATCCTCAAATCCCCAGAGGAGAATGGAGAAGGGATTTTGAAGTGGCCCTCTCCCCTGGGGAATGATTTCTCACTTTCTCTTTCTCTCATGTTTCTAGCCAGTGCACATACCCTATGGGAAGAATAACCTAAAAATAAATTGTAGAAAGAAAGCTTTCTGTCCCCATCAATTTGCTGCCCCTGTCTGAGGCCTTTGCCAGTGGCCAGCAGAGGGCGCTTTAGCCAAAGCGGACCTTCTCTGACACTTGCGGTCTGAGGAGGTGAGGGGTAGGCAGGGAGAGGACGAGCTGTCATTTTCCGGGTTCCAGAGCACACCTAGCCCAAGGCAGAAAGGAACTCATTTTGTTGTTTGGGGGGGCCAGACCCTCTAACCTGTGACCTATGAAACGCCTTAAACAGAAAAGGAGACAAGATGACTGGGGTGAGCCGGAGGGAAGGAAACCAGCCTGGCACCCCGGGCCCCAGACGCTCAGTGAAGAGGATAATGACTGTCAGCAGCCCTCCGCCTCCTCCTAACTCAGCCCCACTTGACAGAGGAGGCAAGGAGGCAGGGAGTCACAGAGGACTGACCGAGCATTAAGGAAAGGAATCCGGAGGCTCGGTGGCCTAGCCCCAGCTTCGTAGTGACGGCATTACTTTGGCATTCCACCTCCCAGACACCGCTGCTCTGGAGACCCCCACCGGGGAAACAGGTCCACGGTGCCTCAGAGCCAGCGATTAGGCCCTGGCTTCCGAATCCCTCATCTGCCACTCTTCTCTACGCAGCACGAGGTAAAGGGAATAGTCACTGGAGGACCAAACTTGGGGGAGCTCAGTGAAGCAGAGGAAAAGCTGAAAGACCTATAAAGTAATCAGTGGCCCTTCTGATGGAACAGCGAGGCAGAGCAATGAAAGCAAGAAGCCCTCGTCTGAGGTGCGGAATTATAAGTGACCCGCCAGAACACGAGTGCACACACACAGGAGCATGCACCTGCGCACATGCACACACAAGTGTACACCTGAGCACTGGGACACACACACGTAAGTGTACACCTGAGCACTGGCACACACACAAGTGTACACCTGAGCACATGCACACGTGTGTACACCCGAGCACAGGCACACACGTACACCCTAGTGTGTACACATGCACACACACACAGGCATACATTTGAACAGTATACACAATGCATACACCTGATCACATGCACACACGTGTGTACACCTGAGCACATGCACACGTGTGTACACCCGAGCACAGGCACACACGTACACCCTAGCATGCACACATGCACACACACAGGCATACATTTGAACAGTATACACAATGCATACACCTGAGCACATGCACACACGTGTGTACACCCGAGCACAGGCACACACACGTACACCCTAGCGTGTACACATGCACACACACAAGCATACATTTGAACAGTATACACAATGCATACACCTGAGCACATGCACACACGTGTGTACACCCGAGCACAGGCACACACAGGCACGTACCCCCTAGCGTGTACACAGGCGCACACCTGAGCACAGGCACACTCACAACACAAGCGCACTCACACACACACAAGCTGCTACACAGATATGTTTGTGGCAAGGGCCCTCTGTCTTCGGCTATTTTTAGGTGGTTAACCTGTGTACCCAAGGTGGGGACACAAGTCACAGTGGTCCAGTGACCTCCATGCCACAAGCACACACGCCCCCACACGTAGGCCCGGGACCCCTCACTAGCCTGCAGGCTTCTTCCACCGCAGGATCAAAAGTTTGGAAAAGCAGCCCCTCCCAGGAGGTGGCTATGGTGGCAGCCAAAGCTGAAAGGCCCTCTGTCCTACCAGGAGGGGCCAGGGGCCGGGTGGCCGCGGTCTGGCCAGCTTGGGAAGACGGGCTGATTCTTCTTAAGTTTATTGATTTCATCAGTGGGTGAGAGGGAGAGACGGCACCCCTGACAGGTTCCTGACACTGATCCAGCCCTACCTGCAGTCAGCCCGGGTCACGGGCACACACGTGCCAGAGGTCACGGGACGCCACCTGGCAGCCCGCCCACGTGGTCAGCCTTGCAGAGCACCATGTTTCCCACTGCGCCCCTCTGGGCCCCACGCTGGATGAACGGGGCCGTGCAGCACAGGACGCACTCGGGTACGTGAGCGCTCGGGTTTCTAGGCCAGACCCCCCGCCAGGGCTCCCGCTCTGGGACCCAGAATTCAGATGATGTCAACACTGGGCCATTGCCCGAGCTCAGGAGTGGCCAGGTGCAGGGGAGAGGACGTGGGCACCAGCAAAACACGGGATGAGGCTGGAGGCTGTTCACCAACAGCGAGCCGGTTCCCTGGCTGGGAAACAGATGGAGACTGGCCAGTGCTATGTGTGGTAAAGGGGTCAACTCAGACCCGAGTGGAGTCAGCCTGTGGAGGGTTCGAATGGAGGTGGGAGAGGCGGGGCAGGGAGGCCAAGGGGCTGCCCGAAACCTGGCCCCGGCGCTGTCGTTACAAAGCCACATTTACGTCTCACACTGAGCCCTGGGCAGGTGGACTGGGGTGCAGTTTCCCTGCCTGTGAAGTCCTTAGAAGAATCTCTGGTCACTCAGGAGAGTAAGGGGGGCCTCGAAGGGTGGACGTGAAGCACGTCCAGGCCTGGGGGCACCCAGCAAGTGTGTGATGATGCTGCGGATGGAGATGAGAGCATGTGGCCTGTGACCTGTCATCAAGGAGGTGACATCGGAGGGGCCTGGTCTCGGACTGAAGTGTGGAGCAAGTGCAGGCACAGGGCCCTGTCCGTGGTTCCAACACACCTGCCATGGCCTCCGGACTTGTTCAGAGCGGGCTTCGTGGAGG